GACTTTAGGACTCTCCTCCAATTGCTAAATTGTTGTCCTCTTATATGCATTTGTATTACAATCTCTTTAAGGATCTGTCGACCCTCTTTCTTTTTGTCTTGAAATCTTCTTATGTTTCTTTCACTCCACAAATGGTAAACAATAGCAACATATAAGAATTGTAGAATCTATGCTCGTGGTCTGTTGTTCCTTATTTTTCTGCTAATCCATTCTGTTTCTTCTTCCCAGTTACTGACCTTCCTCTTTTCTCCTAGCCATTGAAGTATTGAATTTCAGATGTAGGCAGAGTAGCTGCACTGGAAGAACAAATGCTGCAAAGCCTCCTCAACTCCTGTATTATACAAACACAATCTGATTGTACTTTGACACCCCATTTCTGTATTCGATCCACAGTAGCTAACCTTCCCATAAGTGACAGCCATAAAATAAACTTGTGTTTTGGAATAGTCTTTGATCCCAATACAAGTCCTCTCCATTTCATTTTCTGATACTGTGGTAGAAAGGCTTGGTATGCTTTTTTGATTTTGAACTTATCTATGGTGCAGCAGTCTTGTAATGCCTCATTTAAATCCTTGTTCAAGTACCATTTCTTTGCGACCAATATTTTTCGTACTATCCAACAAGCTCTAGCTGGAGTTGTCATTTGTTGTATGTCTTTCCTTTTGATATAGAATGTGTGGATCCATTTTATCCATAGAGAATCTTTCTTCATTGCTACGGCCCATAACAACTTGCTAAGTGCTGCTTTGTTCCAAGTATGAAACTCTATAAAATTTAGACCCCCTGCTGAATATGGCTTACACAATGTCTCCCATGCAACCAGTGCTCTCCTTGAGCTCTCATGACTGCATGTCCATAAGAAGATTCTGCATATTCTTATTATAAGTTGAATGACCTTCTTTGGGATTAAGAACACCTGGGCCCAATAGGTTTGCATCTCAAATAGAACACTCTTTATGAGTTGGGCCCTTCCACTATATGCTAAGTACTTCATAAACCAACATCTTATTCTTGTAGTCATTCTTTCAACTAGTGGTAGACACTATTGAACTGTGATCTTCCTTGATGATAGAGGAACTCCCAAATATCTGAATGGTATTTCCCCCTCTGAAAACTGCATCTCTTCTAATATTTGATTCTTCAACCTTGAGTTAACCCCTGCCACATATAAAGAACTTTTCTCTAAATTGTCCTTTAATCTAGATACTTCTGAGAAATGATTAAACTGCTTCATCATCAACTTTATTGAAATTACATCAGCTCTATAACACATGATTAAGTCATCCACAAAACATATATGAACTATCTCCACCACTAAGACAAACAAGTATGGGGACATTAGATCTCCCTGTCTTAAACCTCTCTTGGCTTGGAATCTGGGTGTAAGTCCTCCATTGAATAGCAATGAATAGCTCACTGTACTTACACATTCCATAATCAGATTGACGAATTTCATAGGCATCCCAAATTCTAGCAATATCATTCTGAGAAAACCCCAGTTCATTGTATCATATGCTTTCCTAATGTCTACCTTCACTAGACATCTAGGAGACACTCCTTTTTGTTTTCTATCCCTTTACCAATTCATGAGCCACAATTACATTATCCAGAATATTCCTCCCCTTAATAAAAGCTGATTGTGAATGTCCTACTAGATGGTCAACTACTAGTTTTAACCTAGTAGTAATAACTTTGGCAATCAGTTTATACAGAGTTGTGCAGCAGGCTATAGGTCTGAATTCCTTCACAAAAGAGGGATTTTTAACCTTGGGAACTAGTGTTACAGTAGTACAGTTCACATCCTTTAGCAACTTTCCAGTTTGGAAGAATTGTGTTGTTGCCTTTGTCACATCCTTACCTATCAAGTGCCAGTATTTCTTAAAAAATTCTGTTGGAAACCCATCGATACCAAGAGCTTTTTCAGCTGGCAGATCCTTCAAGGCTTGAACTACCTCAGTTTCTATCACTTCTTGAATGAGAAGTAACTTTTGCTCAGCAGTAATACAAGGTCCATCTCTTGCAATTGTTGGATCTAAATATGGCATTTCTCCTTCGCTTGTGCCCAACAACTTCTGGAAAAAACTTATAAATTCTTTTTGGATCAGAACAGGGTCATGTAGTTGAATGTCACCTTCTGTGCAGATTGATGAAATTTTGTTTCTTGCTTGTCTTGCTTTCAATGCTGCATGGAAAAATCTCGTATTTGAATCACCATATGCTATCCATGTTGCTCTTGACTTCTGTCGTATCACTTGTTCATGTATTGTTTCCTATTTTTCTAGTTCCATTAGGGTCTCTTTTTTAGTTGTTATAAGCTATTCATTGGACAAGTCTGCACTTAGGTCTAGCTGTACTTGTTTCAGTTCTTTTTCCAGTATACTGATCTTCTTCTCCAACATTGACATTTCTTTGTTCATCTGGGATGTCTCTATTTCTATAAACTTCAGTTTCCTCCAGATTGAGTACATGGTATGTCCATGCACATGTTGTTCCCACACTTTATGTACTGCTTCTTTGAAACTCTTTTGGGATAATAGAACATTGACTAATCTGAATGGCCTTGGCAGTTTTTGCTTGGCCACTTCTGTTCTGATTATAATTGGAGAGTGATCTGAACATTCCGGGATATGATAATATGCTTCCAAATTTCCATACTTCATAAACCATAAGTCATTTCCAAATGCCCAATCAATCAAGCTGTAGATTCTTTCCTTTGCTTCTTGTTTATTACACCATGAGTAGGTGCACCATTTTCTATTTAGTTGGCCCAATTCAATTTCTTGAACGCAATTTTGGAAATTTTCCATTTCTGATTGTTTTACTGGCATCCCATTAATTTTATCATGCACAGAAAGAATAACATTAAAATCTCCAATCACCATCCAAGGTTTTGTGATAAAACTGTTAATTTGCTTTAACATTCTCCATAGCTCTTGTCTTTCCTATTGAGTATTTATCCCATATACAAATGTTATCTCACAAGTAAATTGTGACTCCTTATCCTCTACCTTGCAATGTACCAGTTGCATATGAGATACAAGGATATTCACTGAAACATTATTAGGTTTCCAACAAATCCACACCCTGCCTCTACTACTGACTAGGTAATTATCATGAATTTTCCATTCTGCTCCAAACTTTCTTTTTATTTTTTCTGCTCTTTTCTGCTTTACTTTAGTTTCTAGACATCCCAGCAGTACCACTTTATTCTTAAGCAAAATGGACTTCAATTCTTTTTGCTTATAGGGCTTATTCAGCCCTCTTATATTCCAAGAGCATATGATCATGGTGGGTCTTTGTTCCTTGTATACCCTTTTGCCATGTTGGCATTAGCTTTTTCAGGTTCTATCCTTAATGCACTGAATCTGTTCTTTTGCAGGAACTGCTCCACATCTTCAATTCTATCAAGGTTCTTTACCTGTTACCCTTTACTTCTACCATTTTCTGCTTGCCTCTATTTTTACTCTCTTGAACTATCTCACTCTCCTCTATTGTATTTACTTCTTGATTCTCCTTCTCGAGTTCTTCATTTGGTTTGCCAGCAACTTCAATCACAACTTCAGTAACTGAATCTATATTAGGTTTAGCCTTCCATTGCTACTTAATCTTTTTCTTCTGCCTCCTTGGTAATTGCTGGACATTACTGCCTTCACTTACTCTGATTTGTTCCTTGCAACTTGCTTTATGCCTTCCAATTTGTAAGCATTCCTGATAGTACTCTGATTTCCACTCATACTCAATCAGTTGTTCATAGTACCTACCATCAGGCTCCTCTAGTGTTACTGAATCTGGGAGGGGTTGGGCCATATCCATTTCAATAAGTACCCTGGTATAAGATATCCTTTCTTCATTTGCTGTAAGCTTATCAGTACAAATTGGTTTACCCAAACAACTAGAGATTCACCCCAAATTTTCTGTGTCCCAATACTGGATAGGTAAATTAGGAAACACTAACCATATTGGCATTGCATTTAGGGGTTCTTCAGCTAATTTGAAGTTTGGCTCCCATTGTTTCAGAATCATAGGCCTGTTATTATAGGTATAAGTTCCATTCTGTAATATCTTCAATTTGTCCTCTTCATCTTCAAATCTGATATGAAGTACCCTTCATCATGTAGATATACCTGTGGAGTTTTGATAGTATTCCATACCCCATAAACAAATCTCAGCATCTCTTTAAAAGTAGGATTACCCCCTATTGCATAGCTAATTAGGGCTGACCTCCACTTCTAATTCTGCTTTTCTATAGCATTTGCACTTAGTTTAACAATTTTATTTCCATCTTTCAATGTCGGAGGAAAGTAATTAAGCTCTTGCCCTAATTGTTGAGCTCGATTTCCTTTAACTACATCCGCCATTGTTGGTTTGACCGCACTCAAGCTTGCAGAGAATGTTAATTTCCTTGCCGCATTGTGTGCTTCAGGTTGCTGGTGCGCTTCCTCCATCGGTTGCTTCTCTGGTATCTCTGACTAAACTCGGTTCAGTGCTTGCAATATTGTTGGAGTGCTTCCCATACCTATCATCCATTGCCCTATTTGAATTGAGGCTAAACTTTGTGGGACTCCCGTTTCTGGTGTAACAACTCTCAGTGGTTCTTCTTTGGTTGAGGACAGAGTGGTGTCCACCACTGGCGCCGAAATTTGTTTCTTCTTCTGGTGTGCCATGGAAGGCGTACGTTAGTTAGTTTCTCTTAACATACGCCTCTCCCCTTTAATGGCTTCTTCTATCGATAGTTTACCTTTTTCTTCTTGAAGAATATTTGTTTGAAGTAAAATAATCTAATTTTATTCCTTTTCAAATTCATCATATAAGTAAAATTATTTTTTAAGTTTACACAAATCTTAGAGTACATAAATTATTTTTCAGAAAAGACTATCAGCAATAAAAGAAATCAGAATATAAAATGAAATTTAATTAAATTATTAAGAATTAAATTGGTTAAATGCAAACTTTAAGAAATAAGGATGAAATAGTAGAAGCCAAAATATATTTATAAAGAGATGTCAGGTGAGATACAATTTAACATATTTGTAAATAATATTAGTATAAGATATGTATAGTTACAAAATAAGGTACAACTAATTTAACTAAATTCATCTTTTATGCATATTCAGAAGATATTTAATACAATTACTATGGGAAAAATTATTTTTATCATCTAAACAAATATTGCAGTTTATTAACGTCGTGTACATGTTTTTAATTGATAGATACTATACACACGTGCAACGCACGTATACTAAAATTAGTACTATATTAAAAGCACGAAGGCCCTTAGCGAAATATCGTTTGCCTTTTTTACCCTTTAAAAATATATTTTATATTGGACAAAATAGTAATTTGCTTATCTTCCTAATATTTAGGACTTCAAGCGTAGATTTATGAAAATAATCCACCTATTCTATTCCTTTTTTCTAAATATTACAAAAAGTATAGTTATAGCTGTGCCATAATTTATGTAAGATAAATTTCAGTTAATATTAAATTATTTTGTCCAGTATAAAATATATTTTTAAAGAGTAAAAAAGGCGAACGACATTATATAAATATTATACAAATTGATAAAAAGAATAATATATTGTTCGAGTAGGAAAAAGTTCAAAAATAATTCGCATCTTCTATACTATCTTAAAAGCATGAAATCTCAATAAATAATTAAGTCTTTGCATTAATAAATTAGCAAAAAAGAAATCAATTCAATATTTTTCAAAATCATTATATAAGTAAAATTATTTGTCAAGTTGATAAAACTTTTAAGATACATAAATTCATTTTCATTAGAACGATCGTGAAAGAAATAAAAAAATAGAGCAAAATCCATTATAATATAGTATTAAAAATTAAATTGCTAAACATGCTAAGTTAAAGCATTAAGGATGTAACATAAGACAAAAGGTATTCAAAAGAAGTGCCGTTATCATTTTTCTTTATTTTTATATTTATTCCAATAACTGATAATTTTCTATATTTTTCAATATAGTATTATATATTTTTGTAATTCAATATTAGTTACTTAAAACTTTTATGGTTATTTATTAATATTTTTCTATGAGGAGTTCTACCTCATCACTCACAAATTTCTACAATATTAAAAGATTCAAATTTTTCAATTTTTTTGTTATCTTTAAATAATTGTGGTAAAAGTATTTTTGTGTTTTTTGCTTATAGTATTTGGTAACGAAGATAACAATAATTTTCATAAGATATTTCACACCTCATAAATCATAATAAGGGCATATAATACTTATGTGGAGTATGATTTCTTTGTTTTATTGAGCTAGATTAGTGAGATTAATATTCGTTATTTTAGGAACTTACATTTTTTCCTTTAATATTTGTTCAGTAACGAAAAATACATTATTTAATAATATTTACTTAATTTTTAAAATTTGTATATTCATTGACACGTGTAGGACACACGCAAAGTGTGTACTCTAAGACTAGTATTTAGAAAGAGAATGGAAAGTTGTTTTTGCAAACATGAATCGAATTGTTTTTTTTTTTTTAAACAATTTTTAGAGTTGCAATTTTAACCATAAATTTACTATACACTTGCTTCACCATTATTTTCCTTAAATGGGTTTTCTTTTTCTACTCCAAAAAGAATAAACAAGCTATGATTCTTCAGAACTAAAACGTATAACTTGATTGTATTGGTCAAAATCTGATCGTTGTGGTCGATCCAACCGAGATCCGTCCAAACGGCGAGACAATGGAAGACGCATGGTTTGCTCCAAATCTCGTACTCACAATACTCGCCATGTCAAAAAACATCACACAGGGAACGACGAAAGCGGACGTTGTATGAAAGTGTATTGACCTAAGAACATAGTAAGGATTCCATAACTATATATAGGGAGGGAGCCTTCTTTGAAAAGGGGGGCTTCCGCTCTTTCTTCTTCCTCGATCTCCTCTATAATCTTCTTAGCAAAAAAAAAAAGACAAAGCAATCTTTCATGGCATATGTAAAATGGTCATTTTCATCAATCGATGAGAATATAAATGAAAAGCTTCAACAAGATTCATCGCCACTATTTCTTCTTATGCATTATATTTGATTATAGATCTGGAGTTTATCATGTTTGATTAAGATTTAACTTTTATCTTCTTTAATTGATTTAATAAAAAAGATTTAAATATCTTTTGGGTCAAACATTGATCAGAACAAATTCTTCAATTGAAGAACAAATTCATGGAATCAAGAAAGTGCTAATTTCTGAGTGAAAATGAGGACTAAAGGAAAATAATTAGTATACACTTTGAACAAACAACACGTCATATGGAACTCTCAATTTTATAAATGTTAATTAAGAATTTTTCGATGGCTTCAAATAAATATGTCAGTTTGAGTCTATTTATTATTCATTACTCTCAATTTATGTATAATATATAGGAAAAATTATGCGATTTCAACAAATTTATCATTCATAGATATAATTAAATTATCCATAAAACATGAGATCAATTATTTTGAATAAACAAGAAAATAATAAGCTTTTGTAGCTCAGTTGGTTAGAGTGGTTGTTTCGCATTTCGTAAGTTGAGGTCTTGAGTTCGTTTTTCAACAAGAATATTCTATTTTCTGTATTTCTATATTTCGCCTTGGTTGTGTTGTATTCAAGCGCGAATGAATACAGTCGATACATGTTGTATCTTTTTTATACACCCTGTATATATAGGTAATACAAGTTATTTCTTTTGTATACACCCATGTATTTCGTTTTAGTTGTACTCATTGAGCGAACGAATACAATTGACATATACTATATTCATTGCACGTATGAATACAAGCAATACAAGTTAGTAACAGTTAAACAGTAACTACAAACGATAATTAGGCAAATTAAAATTCTATCATTTTCCCATTTTTTTCTCTTTGGTTTGTAGTCTTTCGATGACTAGTTTCGAAAGGCCATGTGACATATCACTTTCAAAGGCAAAAGTGCCACTTTTACTTGAGGCCACTTGATTTCTATCTTTTTATTTATTTATTAAAACTCATTCATAAAACAAAGTCTATGTCTTTGACCAACGTAAAACACAAATTGCAAAGCCTCTCTATCAGCCGCCACAAAAATGTCATTTTAATTTTCTTATATTGAAAATTATAATTTGACAAGACAAGATTGTTCTAAGTGGTAACTCCCTTAAAAAATGAGGGTAATAACTTATTTGTAAATAATGTTTACACCATATACATATATTTTTCGAATATATATTTTATTAATTAATCATGATTAAATTTACGGCTATGTAATGTTGAATTCTTCACAAAAGATCCTCAACCTCAATGCAATAAACTTCTTTAAAATGGTCCTTAAGAGCTGGCTTTCATCTCCTCATACGAATTCAAGATTAAAATTAAATTTGATAATTTCGATCTTTAAAATTCTTAACACTGAATTTATTAGACTTTCGAAATATCAACATTCCATGTTAAAATACAGAATTCAATTAAACTTTGTAACCAATAATCTACATCCTCCATTGATTCTCTATACGGAACAAACAAAAAAGAAAACATTTCTTTTTTATATACACATGCTATATATGGCAAACGCAGACTATCTATTCAGCCTATTATAATTTTTCAAATAATATAATGCGTGTAGATCTCCGTGACCTAGCTATACCTAAATTTCATTAAATTAAAGAAATGTTGGGGGATAAAAAGCAAGAAATGTTGAATAAAGAAGACTCTAATCCTCATGGTCACCATCAAAGAATTTGACGGAATAAACGAGATTCATCAAATTATTAATAAAAAATTTCGAACACAAACTCTAAATTCTAAAAATAATTTTTTTTAAATAGGAAAAGATTTCAATAAAATGGGTAATACATAACATGAAATTAAATTTATCGGACCAGTTAAAAAAAAGATGGCCCAGTGCATGAAGCATCGCGCAAGGTCCAAGGCAACAGGGACAAAGCTAGAGTACTGGAGCGGGTTCGATCGAACTCAGTAACTTTGGTTCGAACATTGTATTTATCTTTAAAAGTTTATTAATTATGTATAAATTATTAGTTTAGAACCCAATAACTTAAAACGATATAAGTTTGAAATTCTGGTCCCACATCTGCGAGGAAGAGTTACAACCCTAGAGATGTGATGAAAGCAGCTTACCTTGATGCAAGCATCAATGACTAAGAATTTTGAATTTTCATTTGAAAATAAATTTTAAAATTTTTCAAAAATTTGAAAAACTCCAAAAGACTGTTTTTCAAAATTTTCACTCAGATCATATTCAAAAAAGTAACCCAAAATTATATTCATGTCCAAACACAACTCTAATTTTCAAATACTATTTCACTTAAAAAATCTATTTTTTCGGAATTTTACTATTCCTATATCCAAACGCCTACTAAATTACACAAAATAATTTTATCGTTGTTCCAAGACTCCACCCACTAGATCTGAAAATAATTAATGGAAGAAGTCAGTCAATTGTGTCAAATCCATGTCAAGTTAAGATTTAGTAAATTTAAAATAAAATAATAATACTCCTATTATTGAATATTGACTATTCTTCCACATTTCCAAAACCCAACCTCTTTCTTTAAAAGTAAAGTTATATAATAGGTCCACATTCCACTTCCACCATTCCTTTCAAATTCCATAACCTCCCAAAAAAAAAATCCAAATATCCAAATAGAAAAAAAGAAACAAAATGCCCGCCGGAGAAAATTCCGGTCATATTTCCCAAGAACCGGCCGGTCTATTTCTTCTTGCCAACTTTATCTTCACTTCCATAAAAATTTTATTTTCTACCAAAAAACTTTCTTTTTATATTTTTGCTTTAATTTCCTTTCCACTTTCTTTTTTTCTCTTCTTATTTTCTTTTATAACTTACCCTTTAAAAATTAGTATTCAACATCTTGAAGAACTCTCACTTTTTTCACCTATACTTGTTGAGTCGGGACATGTATTAGAAGAAGCAAGTAAAGAAGCTAAGTCTTTACTTTTCTTGAAATTTTTGTTTTTCTTTCCTACTTTTTTACTGTCTTTTTTTACTGCAATTGCTGCGGTAGATGTTGCATTTTCCGTTTGTTCGAACGGGAAACCGACTGTTTTAACGGCTTTTACCGCGGTAAAAACCGTTTGGAAACGGGTTTTGGTTACTACAATGTGTGTTTACGCTATCATGTTAGCTTGTACTGTTGTCCCGGGGATGTTGATAGCATATTTCAAGACCTACCCATTTATTCGGGTGGTTATTGTGGTTCTCGGGTCGGGTTTGGAGCTCCATTTGATGGCGGTTACGAGCTTGGCGCTTGTGGTTTCAGTTAATGAAGGGAAGTACGGGTTTGATGCTATCAGGTTCGGGTCGGGTTTGATGGAGGGGAAACGGATATGTGGGTGGGTTTTGTCCGGGTTGTTTGTTTTGTTTTCGGGTATTGTTCGTGGTATGATAGAGATGTCGATGAACGGTTGGGATTTCGTGAGAGTTGAATCGACGGTTGTGATTAAATTGTTATTGGATAATGTGGTTTGGATATTTTTATATGCTTTGGTGGTTCAATGGAGCTTTATTGTGACAACTGTTTTTTACTTTGATCTTAAGAAAAGAGATTCTATCAAAAGTGATAGAGATAGTGAGATTAGTTTAATTTGAATATTTTTACTTTTAAAAAAAAATTGTGTTAAATTCTTGTGACACCTAGCTCACTCGTTAATTGTATATGTATTATTCTTGTAGATGGTGCACAATTTTGTATTTTATGGAGTAAATCAAGAGGTGAATTTGTAAAACCATGAACCTCTTAATTATTGATTAAAATCTCTTTGGCATTAGTAATGGCTTTTTCTTATTTATTAAATGGTAGAGGCGGATCCAAGATCTGAAGGTGATGAATTACGTGAGCAGATTGCTCAATGCCCCGAGTTTTTTATTTTAAGATTTCCATGCAAAATATATAATCGTTTTCAATATATATATACATATATATCTAGAATTTTTTCTTTAAGGTTAACGAGCCCGATTATCCCTCTCCCTATCAATAGGTTAGTCTTGGTGAACGGGTTATAGACATGTTTGAAATTGTTTTTTCGTTTTTATTCGATGTCTGGTATCTTTTTGGAGCCTAAGTTATTCAAATTCGCGCCTAAAATTTTCAATTTACTAGTTTACTTGGAGATAAAATGTTACTTGCTAAAAAGAACTTTGTTCTCAAAATTTTAAACCGAAACCTTTGATTAAGGACGAGAATATGTTGCACCAACAGCAACTTTTGGTGGCAGAGTTGATTCAAAAGAAAAGTAGGAATTTCAAAATAGCTTTTTAATCTTTTTCCATACCCATTTCATTGTGTTTCATCTTTTGATTCCAAATTCTTTTAATAGTGTAACTATTAGAATAAATTTGATTATTGAAAGAAATGAAAGTGGCACTCAATCTTATTTCTCATCAGCCAAATACATGGACAATCTTCTCATAACAACAATTTTTTTGTAAAAAGAAACTCAGCAACTATACTTTGGATGCGCACAGAATAAACCTCGTTCCCATATAATAGTTTGCAAATCACATAAAAAGAAAAATTGTACTAGAAATCTCGTGCAACGGGCTTAACAGAGAAAAATTCAAGTATTGTTCAAGCACTAGACCTTCAATTTAGGACCCCTTGCTCAACTAACTCGGCCACCCCGAAGGGTGCTTTTCAATATAACATTATTTTTGTTTGGACACCTTAATTTCTAGGGTATGTTTGGGAAGCCACGATTTTGGTGTAATCATACAATTTTGAATTTTGACGTACTCCCTTCGTCTCAAATGATGTGTCGTGTTTTCTAAAAATAACTATCTTAAATTATATGTCATTTTAAAAGTTCAAGACAAATTTAATTATTTTTTCTCTATTTTACCCTTAATAGTAATAATGGTTCTTGAAGGCTACTCCTAAATTATGGAGTAAGAGATTATCTCCTAAGACATAAAGGTAAAATAGTAAAAAATACTTCCTACTTATCAGTACTTTCTTAAGAAGCGTGTAAAAGAAAAATAAGTCAGATAATTTGAGACTAGAGAGTATTTATCTGTCCAAATAATTACCTATTTGGACACCTAATCCTCATTAAATTATGTATAATTGTTCATTTGTGATACTTAAAGCTTGTTTGGATGGTTGTTCCGCATTGTATCATATTGTTTATATTGTATTGTTATCCCAAAATAATATTTGTTTTGATTGTTTCGTTAAAATTGATTGTATTGTATTGTTAAATCCATTATTCCGGAAAAATAAAAGGTCCCCTCTTTTGAAACAACCGATTTGATGTAGCGGGATTGTTTCTTATTTTTCTTTCCAATTATGCTCTAATGTATTAGTCCACAATTCTATTTTACCCTTTAGTTTTTTTTTCTATTTTAATTCTAAATCTCCAACATATGACCTACTTTATTTTTTTTCAGAACTTCTGCCGCCAACGTTAAAGGTGTTTTGCCGCCTTCTGTTTTATTTTTTCTCCTAATTTGCTTTTAACTTAATTCTAATTAATTGTGCTTCTTTGTTTTGCCTTCTTCTGTCTCGCTCCTTTGTTTTGCTTTCTTATGGTGTTTTGCCTTCTTCTTTTTTTATTTTTTAAAATTATTTTTATGCATAATTTTTGATAAATCTAATATGTAAACAATTGAGGGTATTTTAATAAACTTATCAATTACAATACAGTACGATACAATCAAACCAAACAGTAAAATATTATTTAACAATAACAAACAATACAATCTATTCAAACCTTACAAAACGCTATAATACAGTACGATACAATATAAAACGATGAGGAACAATGATCCAAACAAAGTGGTAAAGCAACGAACACCGTATAACAATTTTCCCGAACTAGGTAAACATGGGTTGTTGTAATCACGACATTAAATTTTCTTACATATAATTTTGTGGGGAAAATTAGAAGATGTTTTAATTACTAATGACACGAGTAATCTGAGCACCTGAATTCATTGTTGGTATGTCAGAAAAAGTTCTGAGTAGGAAAGTAAAAAAAGGTAAAATTATGATCATTATAGTCATGAAAGATAACCATTATTTAAGGCACTAACATTATAATATTCTTTAAATGAAACCTTTTTGGACAAGTGGGAAAATTCCTCTACCAAAAGTCATAAAAAGGGATAACACTAACGATTCTTCTTAAAAAGTATACTCTATTTGCAATGAAGTCCTTATAAATTTGAACTTTCACTTTGTAAACTTGAAATTCTATCAGTAAAACTTTAATTTAGTTACTTTTAAGTGAAAGGACAATTGACATATAAAATAGGGAGAAATTCAAAATAGCCATATTTACAAGTGGTAATTGAAAACTAGCGATTTTTTCAAAAGTAATCGAAATTTAGCCACTTTTCATGTAAAGATAAATTTGAATGAAAATACTGTTCAAAATCCGGAAAATATTCTGATATAATATACTGGACTTCCAACATAATATACTGGTTCAGCATAATATGCTGGAAGTTCATTTACAGGTGCTCCGATCTCCAGTATGTTATGCTGGAACTTTTTGTGTGTTGGAGTTCCAGCATAATATGCTGGAAGTTCATACACATGTGCACCAATCTCCGGTATATTATGCTGGAACTTTCCGTATTGCAGCAAAATAATGACTTTTTTTCAACGACTTTACAAATGCTGACTATTTTTCAATTATCAATCCGAAAATTGGTTAGCCCGTGCTATTTTCACTATAAAATACTGAAGTAGTAAAGTTTTTAGAAATAGACAATCATAGGATGAAATTTACGCTAGAGATGTTAAAAAGGATAAATAACTTTAAAATAACATTTATAAAAGAATTATTGTCTGTCTTGAACTAGATGATATGTGTAGATGTTCGAATTTTAATCATCCATATCTATTTATTTTACTATATTTAGCTACATTTTATTTCTTTATTTTTAATTTATTTGCTTTCTTTTTTGTTATATTCATCTTTATTTGTTGCTCATCTTTTTTAATCATCTTCTTTATCCACTTGAATTACGTGTACCTCATCAACAAATACGAATTTAGAATTTAAACTTAATGAGTTCGACCGTTACTTGTTACTGGACTTATTATTCTTCTAAAATTATGTGTTCAGAATGTTTTACTATAAATTATGTTGTGTGTTTAAAATGCTTATCCTGGATGAATTCATTGCGGAGGAGCTACATCGGCCACCAGGGGCGGAATTAGGGTGGTAGAAGGGGTTCATCTGAACCCTCTTTGCTGAAAAAATATATCGTATATATAAGGCTAATTTTTTTAATGCGTATATAATAGATGTTGATTTTTTATATGTTTACTTTTTAAATATTTCGTATCTCCTTATTAAAAATTTTGGCTCCGCCACTAATAATTAACATCAGCATAATTTTTGTTACGATTTTTATTACCATCGTTGTCCTTATTGTAGTAGGAATTAACATTGTTAAATTTTGAGAAAGGAGGGACCTTAATAAAAAGGGAGAAATTCAAAAATAGTCAGATTTATAAGTGGCCATTCAAAAATAGCCACAGTTTCAAAAGTAATCAAAATTTAGTCACTTTTCATATAAAGATAAATCTGAATGAAAACATTGTTCAAAATCCGAAAAATATTCCAGCATAATATACTGGAGTTCCAGTATAATATACTGGAGTTTGAAGCACCGGTGCTCTAGTCTCCAGTATATTATACTGGAGCCAACAAAGTATACCGGTTCAGCATAATATGCTGGAAGTTCATACACAGGTGCACCGAACTCTAGTATATTATGTTGGACCGGTCTCTGTTGCAGCAAAATAGTGACTATTTTTTATTGACTTGGTAAATGCTGACTATTTTTGAATGACTGGTCCGAAAACTGGCTATACCGTGCTATTTTGTCTAATAAAAATGAAGGAATTTTTACCTTCCTATGCCACATAGGAAACCTTATTACCCTTAATGTTTAAGGTTTGATTTAATTACACTTAGTATACCAAATTACCAATCTTATACCATACTTAATTAAGGATCTAATTAATGGGCAGTTTTTACTCCTTAACTAGTATTAGTACCCCCGCGATGCGCGGACACAGCCCATGTCGGATTGTGATTTGGATTATTTGAATTATGTATGAATAACTTCAAAATATAAACCTTTCAGATAAAATTTATAGATAATCATTAGATATTAATTAAGAAGTAAGACATGAAACCATTTTGCAAATCTCTTAGTTGATAACTTGTTTTTTTTTTCTATATTTATATAATCCACCGGTTAATTTTAGTACTTGAATTTCGTTTCGTCATCAATATTTTTAAAAAAATCCTAAATATATCATGTGGTGATTTGTCTCGTTTGAACATATTTAGATCATATAATTTTAATAAAATTCTTAATATCATTTTATTTTTTATCTCAAGTTCCAATAAGCCTTATTCTTTTAAAATTTATACATTTTTTTGTTCTTTGCTTATAATTATTGTATTATTTATTATTTAATATTATTATACTTCCATATATTTTTTTCGGGTTACTAATTGACCTACTATCTTACTTATTATCTTTTTAATAATTATAGATAAATATTATTTTTTTATTCTTGAAATTTAATATATTTTACTCTTTTATCCTCTTACTCGAAAGTATTT